TCTTGCAGCTAAAGTTGGGGATCTCACTGTTGTTCCTTCATGAAACAGTACCGATATATATATATTAACACAACGATTTTAATGCTCAACATTGCATTGATTGTGTTGCATTTTGCCATTGCGTCATTTCTGTATTGTGATTGATAAAAAGCAACATCCATACATCCATACAAGGAAAGCTCTGCGGATAGTTTACTGCACCCCATATCGTTGAGTAAATACGAGACATCCCACGATGTCAATGCATAACAGTGATGATCAATGGCTGGCAGCAAAAGCAAGTATATTAGTATGGATGGTCGAGTTCACGAGGGTTACTTTGTAGATATGTTTCAATGAAGGGAACCATGATATACAATTATTGAATATCATGTAGCTGGTGAATGAATTTAGTATTACTTTCCTCCTTTCTCGAGACTGAAATCAATATTCTTTCCTTCTGTATCGAATCCCGAATTCGATGAGCAGACCCATCCATGAGGCAATCGACCCTTTCGTTACAGAATGAATAGATTTGCTATTGCAAACAGTGTCCTAATCAGAACGAAATTACAGCTAAAAGCACACAGCTGCTACAAAGTCTTACTGCAGCCTGATATTTTCATTCGCGAAAGCAAAAAGCGGTAGTCCATGTGAAAAACCCGGACCACGCGTTCACCTATCTATGTACCAGCTTGGAAACTGTAAGGAGATGCAATCTCTCGGGTCGAGCTGGACTGCAGCACCATCTTAGAGTCTGAGATATTCAATTGACGTTGATGGGGATACATGTGTTTTAAAGGAACCTTGAACCCATGATGAGAAAGGAAGCCCCGTTATTCGCAGAATAGCATAGTAAGATCACTCTTTCTACGATTTCCTGGGATACCTCACTGACTCTTACAGCACATTCTGGTCTGAAGCTGAAAATCCCGTCGAAATACCTTGTTGTACTTGTCGGCCCGGGATTCGCCCGTGGGAATTCCGTTCATCGGCAATTGCCATTTGCCCATGACGCAGCATGTAGTCATACCCCATAAGTACTAGCCCTAGCGTACATTCCATGGTACTTAAAGACGCCGGCTCGCAGCACATACCAATAAAAATTTGACCAAGCTATTCCACACTGAGCAAAGTTGGACGTTGTCGCGTGGTTGGCTGGGCTCGGATTACTCGAAACGGTAAAGTGGATTTCCGCAAGGGGAAAGGTGGGATCAGATAAGATCATCTGATGGAGGGAAGGCAATGCCGAGTTAGTCATGTTTATTGCGGGATGCTGCGCTGCATTTACCAGCAGGGTATGCAATACATGCTGTTTTACAGAGTACAGGGAACAAGTACAGGGGACAAAGTGCTTGTACTGGAATGTAGGACGGCCTTGCGTTGCTCGCGTTGTACTATGTGAACTTTGGCTGAACTTGCGTTTGTAATTGAAACACAGGGAGCTGCTCTGCCGCAAAAAAAGCATTGAAATAAAATTTCATGGCCCCGTAACTCAGGTCTCCGGAATGGGTCCTATGAGTAATTATTCCCTCGTGTATCCGCCCAGAGAGAGTGCGCATTGCGGAGATGCTTTCCAGCTGAATGGTTCATTGGTCCCATTCCGGCGCGGCCACCGCGCGTGAAAATTTATCAGATGGCGAGGGATAGTCAGCTTGGTCATTTTTGGTGTTGCTTCCGTAGACCATGTAGAATTCACATAGCATTGCAGTAGGCGTCTTGAGTACATAAAGATAAGTCCTATGTATAGATGCTCACCGTAGGACAGTAACAATAGAAATGCCCGGCCTCCAGCTACATAGTACTCTGTACACATAGCACAGCTCCATCAGGCCAACACTGATTGATCCATGGACAGCCCTAGAAATCCCCATTGATTGATAACTCTGCCCCTCCAACCAATCAACAACAGAAGCGAGCACCCCCACACACCTCCGAAATCGGTGATGAGCCGCACGATAATCTAATCTGATCCGACTTTGTTTCTTCTTCTTCTTCCCCCCTTCGCCGGGTCTCCTCGGTTTCTTTTCTACTCTTCCTTCCTCCGCTCGTCCTGTTCTCATCCATCTGTCTGTTCTTTCATTCTTTATTTTTCAAGCTGCATTAGCTTGGTTGTAGACATCGCCTTGTCTCTGGCATCACCCGTCCATCTCGCTTACCGGGTCAAATGAGCGCACTTCCGCTCTTCCGACCGCAAGCGACAAAAGTGACGAACGCCGGTCAGCTCTCCCACCACACCACCATTACACCATTATGCTATATGCTCTATATTTTACTCTTCGAGATGGCCACTGACTGGAGCTCAGATCTTCTCATTAATTCAGAGAATCATATTTAATTAAAAGGACACAATGTCTACACCGCTGGCTCCCGCGGGAACGCCGGCTCCCTCCATTGCTCCCCTGGCACCCGCCCTGGCCGCCAAACCTTCAATTGCACCCGCCTCGCCTGCTCCAGCTACCCCCGGATCGATCACATCGAAGGAATGGGTCATCCCTCCCCGTCCTAAGCCCGGTCGGAAGCCTGCCACCGATACCCCGCCCACCAAGCGAAAGGCACAGAACCGTGCGGCCCAGCGGGCATTCCGCGAGAGACGCGCGGCTCGAGTGAACGAACTCGAAGACCAAATGAAGCAAATCGAAGATGAGCATGATATGCACGTGGATGTATTCAAGGAACAGATCTCGAACTTGTCTCACGAGGTGGAACAATGCCGGAACGAGATGGCTTGGTGGCGGGACCGCTGCCACGCCCTGGAGAAGGAGGTTTCTGTGGAGAAGAGTGCCAAGGAGGCGCTTGTGAAGGAGTTCCGATCGTCGTTAGCGGATAGAAACACGACGACCCAGTCGGACGCGGTGCCTCTGCCGCCTCGAGGTCAGAAGCGGAAGAATACTGAATCAACCCGCGTACACACGACTCAATCTACTCGAGAGGAAGTCCCCTTGGGTTGCGGAAGCTGCTCTACTGCTCACTGTCAGTGTATCGAAGATGCGTTTGCTATGCCTGGCGTGGAGACTCACGAGTCTAACAAGCGTCGTTCCGAACCCGAAATCAAGCCTGAGCCGGAGGAGATGGAGGTGGATTTTACTTCCCGCTTCGCCGCTGCTCCACCCCCGGAGGATCATAGCTCGCCGTCTATTGCATCTCCCGTTGACCCCTGTGGGTTTTGCCAGGACGGCACTCCCTGCATTTGCGCTGAGATGGCCGCCCAGGAGGACGAGCATCGACAGCGGGAAAATTTTGAGAACAACCGACTTGCCCCGATCCAAAATTTATCCCAGTTCACCCCACCGCCATCAGACGGTGATGTCCGGTCCGAAGTGACCTTGCCTTCTATTAGTGAGGCTACCAACCCCTGCGCCAACGGACCGGGTACCTGTGCCCAGTGTGTGGCGGATCCCCGTAGCACGCTCTTCTGTAAGACTCTGGCTGCATCGCGGGCAGGTGGTAGCGCCCCTCGCGGTGGGGGTGGCTGCTGCGGTGGCAAAGGCGCAGACGGTGGATGCTGTGGTGGCGGTGGTGGTGCACGCAGCAAGCCTGCCCCTGCCCCTAAACCGACATTGAATCCCAGAGACTCGCCATCTTTGACCCTCTCCTGCGCTGACGCTTTCACCACCCTCTCACGACACCCCAAATTCTCGCGTGCCAGCGACGAGCTTTCCTCCTGGCTGCCCAAGCTTCACATGCTCCCGAACCCCCGGGATCTGGAACTGGCAGATAAGTCCAACGCTCGGGCTGCGATGGAAGTCGAAGCCGCGAGTGTAATGGGCGTGCTGCGGTACTTTGACCGACGATTCGCCGATAAATAAGTCTTGACATGACTCCTTTCTTTCATTCTTTGATTTCCTTATGTTTTGTGATACCCGTTCCTGACTCTCACTGAATTTGTACTATTATATTTACTTTCATGTGGAAGAGGGACATGTTTGCTGCCTGTCTTAATAGACAGTCTGAGGTGATGGCCGTGGTTGTGGATTGATGGATGCGAATGGGATAACACTCGTTCCAACGATTAGATGACGAACGGCGTTTTGGGTTTGTTTGATTTGAGGAGGGCAAAAGTACAAACATAACATTGGATCTTTTATACCATATGAAAAAAGAAAAGAAAAAAAAAAAAAAAAAAGAAAGACCTTGGACTGGGAGGTTATGATTCTATGAATATTCATCTTGTTGATTTGTCTGCACTGTCTGCAAATGGACGTCGTTTATAGACGACTTATATACAGCATGTTTCGTTCTAATATTGGAAGATGTTTTCGCATAAATTCGGATGCTTCTGTCATCTCATAACTGTGTAGAGTACTGGGGGAGTTGACACGGGGTTGACCACGGACGAGGTGTGGTCACTGTGGCTGTTGGCTGAAAGACTAGTTTTGATGATGATTGACACAGATTGCAAAGCAACCCGTTGAGTAATATACACCATTGACCAGACCATATAGACAATACTATCCAGCATCTATTTCGGATACCGTACAGCTTAGGGATCCCAGCATTAGGACCCAAGCACTGACAACACACGCACTAGTCGAAGACAACGAACGTAGACATTCCATAACATACTCAATATAAGCCTGTGCTAAAAGCCCGGCTACCTCTTGTACAGGGAATGCCCTCATAACGCACGCCCGCCCGCCACTCGGTTTATAACCCATACTCCCCTGACAGGTTGCGCAAGCAACGTTAATCATTTCAGTCCATCGCTTCCTGGGAAATGGGTGGGGTATCGCTTTTCCGCTCGCTCAACGTTCGCCCTGCCATGCACAGTGCTGTGAACTGATTTCTAGGTGGGTGGGTGGCTGTAATCTCTGGGGGACAGTGCTTCTGTTGCCTATATCTTGATAACTGTGACGAGGTCGTGTGATGTATGAAGGCCAGGTGTGCTGATCCTTTTCCTTCTGATCCCGATGTAATATCAGTCCGTTCTGAGATCCAGGGTGACTGTCATTGACCGTTTAATTTGAGGAGAACGGCGGGACTTTTAGCTCCAGATGCTGGAGTGTAGTCTGTGGGGAAATCTGTGAGATATCTCGGGAATAATGGGGGAGGTTGGTCTTACGATGCGATTTCCGCGTACTAGGGGTTTTCCGCAACTATCGTGCAGAATTCATAGAACATATGAGCTGTCCAGCCCAATCTTTAGATCTCTCGAATTCTCATGAACTTCAATTCGACTTCGGACATGTCTTAGCCTGCTTCACTCTCGACAGGCCCTTCTCCTTACGCAAGGTACAATCCACCCTGCCTCCGTTGAAGTAACAGTTTGCACAGGTCCGCCCCAAGGACAGCGTGCCGTCCATGACGAACGACAACGTAAGAGTCAAAAGGCCTATGGCCACCGAGGTCACGTTTTCAAGGACTGGCCAGCACCTCACCATGTGGTGCCCAGGCAGCAGTGCTGCGCGCTGCTGACCACGCATTTCAGCAACTTTGCTATATCTTTGCAAGCTGTTCGGACATCACGCTCAAGAGTCTTGTAGCTTTCTGAGAATCTTAACATCATTCTGTGGTTTATCAATCCTGACCGGCATAATGTATCGGGAGTAGCGGTGGCTTGGCCCCGAGGACTCTGATTGATACTGTGAGCTCTAGTCAAGCCACTGAGTCTCTATATAGATAGGTGATCTTTTCATCTGTGTATCGTATGGCCGAGTGTCACGCGCTTGTCGCACATGGTGATATTGGGTAGGAACATTCCCCCCCAAAAAAGATACCATGTACCTATAGTCGCGCTGGTCCAAAATGTTGTGCTGGCTGTTGACACAGGATGCTTAAATTTGACAGACTCTATCACTGATCATGGATAGAGGCGATGGTCCTTCATATGTTAAATAACATTGAAAACATTATCCGGCTCGAACTGACTATCAGGATGATAAAGCGAGAGGCGCTTGTGCATCGGGACACATCTCTTGGTACAGAATTGTTGTGAAGAGCCGACTTACAGCGAGTTAGTTTCGGGGTAGAACGGTGGTATCTCTCAATAACATGCTCAATAGTATGATAATTCATTCACTGACTGAATGAAGTCCAATCATTGCATACTATGCTATTCACTGAGATATCTGAGATACCTGGGCAGAGCGTTTGGTCCATATTGGTCTCTTTGCTTTTGCTGCCGGGGCCGCTCTCTACGCATTTCCAACTTGGATTAATGCGTGGGATGTTTAGAATATTTCTAAAGTCTGATTGGTGTTTCGAATCAAACGCTACGGGGCGCAGTAGAATTCGCATTCATTTCCTAGCCGGTCAAACTGTGCTCAAATAGTGTGTAAAAACTTATCATTAATTCAAATACGCTACTAGTACACATTTCCATCTGGATAGTCATACATCGCAATCGAAACTGCAAGCCATCCTTGCCCCGTAACCAAAAACAATGCACTCACAACTCAGTCAAAGCCGGCGCCCCAGGGCACGGCGGCGCAGAGTACTTGGTCGCCACGAAAACCTTCTGGATACCATTCTCCCGTTTCTCAAACTGTTGATACAGTTTTTCCATATCCTCCAGGCGTACCCGGTGTGTCACCATCTTCAATGGCTCAATTTCCTTGCGTCGAACGAGATCGAGCAAATGCTCCCAGTATCGGTGGACTGGGGCTTGGCCGTTGCCGATTAATCGGATTCCGGTTTGCATTATGGCGCCGATATTGAAGTGATTTGTCTGGTAAATGATTAGCAGGGTATTCTCGGACAAAGCTTAGGATAGGGTTACTCACATATCCAGCATAAATACCCGTCACGCCAATCCGTCCAAACGGTCGTAGAGCAGTGATCATCTCGTTCAACATTTCCGAAGTATCCGTCTCCATTCCCAAGAGAGTCTCGAAGTAATGAGCCCATCCCTTGGCGTATTCGCCAGAAGTACAATCCAAAGCTACATCTGGCCCATGATCAACCATCTTTTTGAGTTGCGAAGTAACCGACTCGCCTTTTGGCAATTTCGTAAAATCAAGCAGCTCAACACGAGGAATCTTGGACTTGACCAAATCCAGTCTCCAGGATGCGTCTCCCCCATCGACGAGGATTACTCTGCTGGCGCCATGGTAGAAGCTGAATTCAACGACCATTTGGCCGATTGGTCCTGCGCCCCAGACGGCGACGACATCGTCTTTGTTGATGCCTGTGTCGACGACACAGTGCCATGATGTTGACAGCACGTCTGATAGGTAGAGTCCTCTCTCGTCAGGGACATCATCCGGGAGTCCGAGTAGGTTCATGTCCGCATGTGGCACGCGGACATACTCTGCTTGACCTCCGGCGAAACCGCCAGTGAAGTGGCTGTATCCGAATAATCCTGAAACCATCAGCTTTGATTCTCTGCTGTCGATGGTGAAGGTCTTTTCATCACGTACCCGATGTTCTCTTTCCATACATCACATTCTCGATAGTATTCGCATTGGTCCGGTCACATTGCGACGTCAACTTCTTCTTGCAATTGAAGCATTTACCACAAGCGATGGGAAATGATGCAACGACACGCTCGCCTGTTTTGAAGTTCTTCACACCTGGTCCTGCGCTCTCGACAACACCGCAGAACTCATGGCCCAGGACGTCGCCTCTCTGCATTTGAGGGATGACACCTATGTCCGGTCAGTACGAGACATCACGTACGAGGGGATTGATACATACCATGATACAAGTGGAGGTCACTTCCACAGATCGTACTCCCCGTTATCTTGACAATAACATCGTCTTGGTCGATAACCCTGGGTTTGGGCATTTCAACTGCTAGTGTTAATTTATGAACCCCGAAGACAATATCGCTTCTAATGTACCGATTTGCACGCTCTTCTTTCCAGTCCATATCGTCGCCTTAATCTTTTCACCCGTCTCTTGCCCGGCTTCGTTCTTAGAATAGTTGGTTATATCGGTGGCAATGTCCGCATTGTCTCCATGGCCGACAATGCGTTCCGCGACATTCGCAGCTTGTGTTGTTGCCATTTTCTGTATTCGAATGTGCTTGCTTGTTCAAATAGAAAATTGTGCCTATATTCGTCTGAAATGAAGTCGAGATACCCCGACATTTAAAAAGATTCATTGTACGGGCTGTTTTCCGTGTGACATCACAGTGAAGTCGGCAACGTCAGGATGTTAAACCAGATCTTTTAACAGCCAATCTTGATGAATGAAAAGTATCAGTAATCCTGAGGTTATGAGACGCTATTGTGTAGTGCCAAAAAGGTTATGTTCATGCCTGAGGCCACGACATATTGGTAACAACCTTTGATTCCCTCGAGGTCCTTAGAAAAGTTCGAGAAAAGGAAATGATGATTCTAGAATGACTGGAATGCTTTCCAACGACATATGGAGTGTATTAACACGGACAGAAACGTCCTAGTCGGCATCTGTCAACAATGCATCGCACGGCGAATTTTTTGACGCCTTGGCATGAGACAGACGCCATATCAGAATCCACCACAACCACTCATCTACTCGTTTGAATACAACATTTTCGCCTGTCAAACCACCCCTCCTAAATTCCTGACATTTGCATGTTTTACGCGCCAGGGTCCCGATAATGCGGCCTCTTAAGCGCCTACTGCGGCGTGTCCATGCCAAAGAGAAACATCAAGAATCCACTCCAGGTGGGTGCCATTTCTGCCCCTATACCAATTGGAAACTTTATAAAAACCAGCAGGATCGTGGTCAGCATGTTTTTGGTTGATAAAGCACTTTCTTTTGTATCATCGTCTGCTCCCCTCTCCAGCTGGCCCTGTTGACCCCCCACGCTCCCTCAGTCTTGGGAGATATTTATTTATCCATTCCTTTGACTTGATATTTTCCTTTGTTGCTTATTTGTGTTTGCATGCCTTTGGACTAGTCATGAAAGTTGAGCTTGCTTGACGTCTTCCGTTCTGTCGCTCTTTATTAGACTGTTTTATACTCCCTACGCTGGCCGTTACTACCCTTCATTATGATCTTCAATTATTTACTCCTTACATTCTTTACAGCATCAGTTGTCGTGGCTCAATCCGAACCACGAAGCGTTTTTGCCCATTTCGTTGTGAGTAGATCCCTCTTGTCCCACTCGGAACACAGGACTGACCAATGCAGGTCGGAAATGCTGTAACGATGACCCCGGAGCAATGGGAGTTCGACATCATAGAAGCCCAAAAAGCCCACATAGATGGTTTTGCATTGAATGTTGGCCCCCAAGATAGCTACACGGACAATGTTGTCCATAAAGCGTTTGCAGCGGCAGAAAAGCTGGGCAACTTTTCACTCTTTCTCTCCTTTGATTATGGGACTGCCGGGCCCTGGCCGGTAGATCGGGTCATTAATACAGTCAATCAGTATAAGTGCAGCTCTGCCCATTTCTACTACCAGGGGAAACCCTTGGTGTCGACATTTGAAGGTACACAGAGTGTCGACGACTGGCCGCGCATCAAGAATGCCACCGGTTGCATATTTGTTCCCACATGGACTAGCCTGGGTCCTTCTGGGATTACCAACACTTTCCACGTCGTTGATGGCGCCTTTAGCTGGGATGCTTGGCCTGTCGGGGCAGACAATAAGGATACCACAAGCGATGAAGCGTGGGTGAAAGCGCTTGCTGGCAGGCCTTATATGATGCCTGTTTCTCCGTGGTTCTATACCAATCTTCCTCAGTGGCAGAAGAATTGGCTGTGGCGTGGTGATGATTTGTGGCACTATCGCTGGCAGCAGGTTATGGAGATGCAGCCTGCTTTTGTGCAGGTTGGTTACCTTTACGGATTATTTATCTCGGATGAACTGACTTTCGCAGATCATTAGCTGGAACGATTACGGGGAAACACACTATATTGGGCCGATTTATGAACCTGGCATTCCCGAAGGTGCAGCAAATTATGTTTCCAACCACTCTCATGATGCGTGGAGGGAGTTACTACCGCACTATATCGATGCCTACAAGACACGGAATGGAACTAACACGACCACGCATCGAATGGCCGGTACCAATGTGCACAACCCCAAATACCCTGCCTCTTACGGAGAGAAGATCAGTTACTGGTATCGGAGAAACCCGAGCACTTCTGGCAGCCACAGCGGCACAACTGGCAACAATCCAGCCATGGGCCAGAAGGAGCTGAATCCAGGACAGGTCTCGCAGGACCGCGTCTTTGTCACTGTGCTGGTGACCGCCCCGAGTGTTGTTCAGGTCCAGATCGGAGATCATGCGCCGACCGTGCTTCGTGCATGCACGGCCGGCATCAATCATTTTTCAGTCCCTTTCAATGGACAGACAGGGCCCGTGAAGGTGGCTATCATGCGGGGTGGACACGAGATCGCCGCGACGACCGGTCCTGCTATCACGGAACAATGTGTCGACGGGAAAATCAACTGGAATGCGGTCGTTGGTTCAAGTAATGGAACCGATACAACCTGAGCATGGCCTTCTTATACTGTGTATATGTATATATATCCTCGTCTTCGTGGCTGACTGTTGTTCAGTGGAGTATGCAATGACGTCGTTGACTCGTTGATCGCCGAAATGGCATTCTCGGCTTCATTCCATCGGTCAGCAACAATACAAATACACAATACACACCGATTCAATGAATGAGCTGTCTCATAGCGTAGACAAAGTGACTATGTATGCAGAATGCACTCTTACTCGTACCGTACCTGGAGTGAGGCGACCATACATACTGCCGAACCAGTTCCTGTTTATCTATGCGACGCGCTAACCCGATCGGGAGTTCAGCTTCCCCAGCCCCGTCAGGTGACTCCTCTCTCTATCTCGCTCTTTCCTGCTCTCGTTGTCCTCTTTGCTTCTCTCATTCCTTCTTCTCTAACTTCTTCCTATTTATCCCATCGCATAACCCCTAGAATCCCTCTCTCATAATGGCCAGAAAGACCTTTGCTATCCCTCAACACTCCAACATGGCTTACCGCTCAGCCGCTCCTTCAACCGCCGACAATGGCACCATCAAGCCAGAGGACTTCTCCCAGCCGTACTGCGACTTCATGGCTGACAACCCAACCATATTCCATGCCGTCAACGCCTTCGCCAAACAACTCGAGCAACACGGCTACGAACAACTCCCCGAGCGCGATGTCTGGACAGGCAGGCTGAAGCGTGGAGGAAAATACTATGTCACACGTAACAGCAGCTCTCTCATTGCATTCGCTGTTGGTAGCGAATACCAGAGTGGAAATGGCCATGCCATCGTGGCTGGTCACGTGGACGCTCTTACAGCCAAATTGAAGCCTGTTTCCAAGCTACCCAACAAGGCTGGTTACCAGCAGTTGGCTGTGGCTCCGTATGCTGGCGGTCTCGGAAAGACCTGGTGGGATCGCGATCTGTCGATTGGTGGCCGGGTGTTGGTGCGTGACAAGAAGACGGGCAAGGTGGAGAGTAAGCTGGTTAAGCTTGGTTGGCCGATTGCCCGCATTCCGACGCTGGCGGAGCATTTTGGGGCTCCTTCGCAGGAACCCTTCAACAAGGAGACGCAGATGGTCCCCATTATTGGAATTGATAACTCCGACCTTTTCGAAGAGCAGAAGGATGCTCCAGCTAGTGGAATTAAGGCTGGAACTTTTGCTGCTTCGCAATCCCCGAAGCTGGCCACAGTTATCTCGAAGGAGCTTGCTGTTGACCCCAACCATATTTTGAACTGGGAATTGGAGCTGTATGACAGTCAGCATGCTCAGCTTGGTGGATTGGACAAGGACTTGATCTTTGCTGGTCGTATCGATGACAAGCTTTGCTGCTATGCCGCCCAAGAGGCCCTCCTTGCTTCCCCCGACAGTGCATCTCCGGGCGTTGTGAAGATCGTTGGCATGTTTGATGATGAGGAGATTGGTAGCTTGCTGCGCCAGGGTGCCAGGTCGAACCTCTTGAGCAGTGTCATGGAACGGATTACGGAGGCATTCGCAACCAACTATGGCCCCAACGTACTGGCCCAGACCGTTGCGAATAGTTTCCTTGTTTCTTCGGATGTCTGTCATGCTGTAAACCCGAACTTTCTCGGAGTCTACCTGGAGAACCACGCTCCTCGCTTGAATGTCGGCGTGGCTGTCTCTACCGACTCCAACGGCCACATGACCACGGACAGTGTCAGCCATGCTTTGTTGAGCCGTGTCGCCGAGCGCTCTGGTTCGACCTTGCAGCTGTTCCAGATCCGTAACGACTCGCGAAGTGGCGGTACCATTGGACCTATGACTAGCGCACGCATTGGAATGAGATCCATCGATGCGGGTATTCCGCAGTTGAGCATGCACAGCATCCGTGCGACGACCGGAAGCCTGGACCCTGGTCTGGGAGTGAAGCTTTTCAAGGGATTCTTTGACCATTATGAGGAGGTTGACAAGGAGTTTGCTGACTTTTGAGCATTATCGGCAAGGTATGAGTTATGATTGCACTGGTTGAATGGATTTGATCATTCCGTTTGTTTATTATTAGATTATCACAAATACTTTATAGGTTCTGAATTCAAGGTTGATTAATTATACATGATCATACATCGTCAATAGCACAAAACCGAAATAATACACGAAAATGAAAGCCAAAACGTGAAAAGTCATAATCATGGCAATGTCCAACCTTACTTCCTCGGGGAAGAGGAAGAAGACGACGACGACAAAGACCCTATGGTCGCCTCGGACTTCACAAGAGCCTCCTTATGATCCTGTACCGACATATACCTCTCGATATCAACCCCGTTTCCACTCTCAGGCGTATGCCCCCGAACCATCGCAAGCACCTTCTCCGCCTCTTGAGCAGCCCCATCTCCTCCATTCCCATACTCCGCATCGTGTGTCGGGGCCTGTCCACAAGACAACCGAGCAGTATCAGTGCCACTGAGTGTCGAGAGCAAACGAGGCATCATACGAGAGATCAATGGACGAAGGGTAGGAAGACAGGCGCAGATAATGCCGACGTTGCATTCGACGGCGGACCAGGAGGCCGCGGCGACGTTGTCGTCTTTTGCCGTTGTTAGTTAGGGCTTTTTTTGGGGACCTTTGGGGATGAAGGCAGAGCTTACAGGTTGGATCTGAGGAGTCGGCGATTGTCTTGAGTGCGACGAGGCGGCAGATGCTTGTTACGCAGACACTGTGCTTGTTAGCTTGACCCACCTTTAGGCATTAGATGGGACCATAGAAATTTCGGGCAACATACAATCCTCCCAACGCAAAAATCGCAATAAGCGCCCCCTTCTGCCTCCTCGGCAACTCCAACGCCACCAACGCCGGCACCGGAATAACCAGTATCGCAAGATCAGTAGCAATATGCATCCCCGCATTCGAAAACCACAACCCCTTCTGACTCAAACAAAACCCCTCAATCGTCGGCTCCCAGAACTTGGCCACGGGAATACAATTCAAAAACGCGCTCAGCACGCACCACGTCCCGTATGTGGCGAGAAGCGCAATCATAGTCCAGGAGATATGGCGCATACGGCACGTTGGGAAGACGCGGTGGTATTGCATTAGGATTGTGGCTTTTGCGGTGAGGACGGCCGCGTTGTAGAAGGGGATTGTGGCCCAGAAGGCTTTCATTTGGGTTGTTAGGATTGCGGGTGGGATTTGGGCTATGGGCATGCCCATGCCGTTTAGGGATTCGAGGAGGAAGAGGGCCATGAAGATGAATGAGTTTACCTAGCGCTCTAGTTAGTATTTAATATTATGTGGGATATGAATGGGAAGGGGTACCAAAGCAACCAAAATCATGCAGTCATTCGCTTCAGTGCGCTTCATTATCCAGATTCGAGTGTACAGACGTGCGAGGACGAAGCTTGTTGCCAGGCTTGTGAAAATGATGCTGACGGCCATGGCTTGGGCACCGCGATGGGTCATGTATGGGTGGGAGTTCGTCATGTTGCTCTAGTTCTGTTCACCTCAGATAATTGTAGTTTCGATGAGAGGGCTGGTCTGTATAGCGGATGTGCATTCCTTGGATCTCGATTTAAAGAATCCCGGGGATAGTTATACCTGTTTGCTCACGGGATGTCGCCATAGGGCTGAGAGAGTAACAAGGACCAATCGGTGAAGGGCATGACGCCCTGGACGGGTGTCTCATTTGCCTCGATTGTCTCCCCGGATATAGGTGGTTGAATGGATAAAATCTAGGAAGTAAGCTGAGGAGAAGAGTCGGAGTAAGGGGATCTATGACAAGAACGAGGAGTAACTGACAGTCCTACCTGTGCCCCTCTTTAGTATCTCAAGATGGGATAGTCGCCCTGGGACAGGGCTGCCTTCGTTCACATCAAGGGAAGAGTAACTACATTCTCAATTGATCCAGGGCTGGTTTTGGCTTGTCTCATCCCATGGCAGTAGTCAGTTGAAGGCAGGAAAGGAGCCGTGAACTACTTGGATAAGATGAAGAGTCATTGTAAGATGGGATGCATAGAGCTATTTTTCGATAGTTAGACCTCGTGCACACCGTATGACGCCGAGACATGATGCAGTATGCATGGCCAGAATGTTCACCGACAGACTGATTGAAGGTAATTTCCAGAGGCTCTCATACAGAGTACTACTCTATAATCACCATGACTCGTGACCGTGGTAGAATGCACGTCCACGCATTCGGATGGATGCATGTGCAGGACAGTCCTGAAAAAGGGATGAAGTAGCCGACAAATCACAATCAGATATTACTATGCTGCTGCTGCAGAGCCGTTAGTGTACCTTTGAAAGAGGTGCATAGCCTTGTTTCCCCGAGTGCTCCTGCATACAACCTGAAAGGGATGCAAGGACGGGGGGTGTCATCCCTTGCCCTAATTGAGAGGGGGTTCACCCATTTCCTGTGCAACGGGTGATATTAGAGAGAGGCTCAGTTCTGGGCCTTGAGTTTAATCATAGTCATCATGTAGGATTAGCGGTATGTACGGAGTAGAACCTCAATAGTCGTGGTAGTCAGAGCTCGAGGTGCAGATACCGATATGCAAGGAAGTCTTGTCCAGCATGCATTCAATTGCATCATTGTCATATCCTAACGTAATTTTCACTTCTTCTTATTGGTAGTGGGGATTGAGTTGCTACTACCGGACTTAGTGAAGTCATACTGAGGATTATGGCCGCAGATTAGCCTTCAAAAACAACTTGACCTACCAAAATAACATATTACTCTTACATTAAAGAACAGCTGCTATTATTCGTTACCAAGATGTGGAACGGCCCGCCGGGAGCAGCATTCTTCGGCATTATTGTCCGCATGCAGTAGTAGCATAGTAAATTGACTTCCTTTCTCTGCATAACGTTGCTATCCACAAAACATGGGGGGTAACACTGCCAAAGTCAATCTGGTCGACATTGAGGTCGAATGGCAATCCTCTATGATTGCATTTCCGTGATCTGGAATTGACCCATTGGCACGGTGAATACATGCCTGCCCTATCCCTCACTGTTCACGTAGCATGCCTGCCGGAATCAGAAGGTAGATTGCAAATTGAAGTGGCTGAGTTGACCCCCTCCAAGCTATTAACGCAGTGGCAAGTTGAACACTCTTGTTTGGTATCTAACAATAGAGTGATAATCGAAAGCGCAAATTCTGTCTGCGGAAATAGTGACATTCTTGATGATTATCATCTGGGACATGACTCTGCATTGCAACATCAGAGGTCAACTAATCATCAATGAGCTATTAGCTATAAGAAGGGCCACAAGTCTCGACTGAATCAATATCCAAGGCTCTTTACTATAACCTGAACATTCAGAAAACAACTTAATCTGATAGTCCAAAATGGCGACAATCAACACCCATGACCGGCAGCCAGGTATACCCATAGAGACGATGTTCTTTTTTTTTTTTTTTTTTTTTTTGGATTTCCTATACTAAGTGTTACTAGACGTCCCAGCACATTCTGAGTATCATAAGTCGGCATTTACCTTGCCAAATGGTTCGTTAAGCCTGGAATGTTCTAACTCTACCATACTGATGATTTCCTTAGGATGTCCGATCGACAACCCTTACAACTCGGAGAAGGTCCAACAGAAAAATGGAAACACCTACAAGATGTCGCAGCTCCTGCAGGACACCTACAATATGGACCAGATAGCCCATCTCAGCCGTGAGCGTATCCCTGAAAGGTAAGCTTGACTCTACCCGGACTCTACCCAATAGAAGCAGAGGCTCAAATGAATCAGATTCGGTCACGCCAAAGGATGCGGCGCTTATGGAGAATTCACTGTGACGAGCGATGAAATCCAGAAGTATACCTGCGCCGACTTCCTCTCTGCGAAGGGCAAGAAAACTCCATTGTTCTCTCGTTTGTCCACCACGTCTGCATTCCGAGGCTCGGCGGACACGGTTCGTGATACCAGAGGATTTGCGTTCAAGCTTTACACGGAAGAAGGAAACCTGGATTGGGTCTTCTTCTGGCCTGTATGTGAAATGAACAAGTGACAATTTTGTTAGAGATAAGTCGATTGATTGATGATATCAGGGCGTCTTTTCCATCTGGGATGTTGGGAAGATCATCTCCAACAACCATGCGACCAAAAAGTGCCCTGCCACTGGCATGGCAGATCCCAACATGCACTTCGATTTCGTTACGAAAAACCGCGAGGCGCTCAATTCCTCGATCAGACTTCACAGTGATGACGGAACCCCAAGAAGATTCAATGATATCACCATTGGGAGCCTGAACACATACACGTTTGTCAAGGACGTATGTGACTGAATCAACCGCTGGCTATCTGACTTCGACTGACATACTCTCCACCAGGCGGACAACTATTCCTATGTCCGAATCACTTTGGTGCCCGCTCACGAGATCCACACTCCATTCACCAACGCCGAGGCTGCTGCCCAGGCTGGTGTGGACTCGGATTATCACATCCGCAGATTGTATAAACAAATCTCAAAGAACACCGACAAGGAAGCTGGATATAAGTCGGAGATACACAAGCTAACCGAACAGCTTCAGAAAGGCAACCTTTCAAAGGATGAACAAAAGAAACTGTGGGAGAAGATCCAGGAAAATGAACAAAACATCGAGAAGTTGGTTTGGCCAGAGTGGAAGGTGGTGGCCCAAATCATCCAACCAGAGGATGTGGAGAAAGTCAAAGTCAACATCTTGGACGCCAGCAAAGTCTTCCCCAAAGACCAAAACGATATCATCAAAACGATCGAATTTGGCAGGCTAAGGCTCAATCGCATCCCGCGCAACCAATTCGCGGAGGTTGAGCAGGCGGCATTCTGTGCGGCCAACATCGTTCCAGGATGGGATATTACCCCGGATCCAAGTGCGTGACTTCCCCTCCCCCCCGTTCGTCTCCTGATGATCCATAACCTGACTTATGGATGATGAGCAGTGCTCCAAGCCCGTATATTTGCCTACCCTGATACCCAGCGTCACCGACTGGGCGTCAACGCTGAGCACCTGCCAGTCAATCGCCCCAAGAGGGTGTGGAACCCGCTCAGACGGGACGGTCCCAATTCGCTCTTCAACTATGAAGACGTTCCCACCTACGTGGCGGATTACAAGCAGACACAGGCTCTTCCGGGTACGAGGACCGCCTCAAGTTTCGCCAACCCGGATCCGTGGACAGAGACATCAAAGTCAAAGGTGCCACGTTGGGACTCGGGCATTGACGTGACGAGAGGATTGAACGAGTGGGGAGAACAGGATCCTCTAGAACAACCGCGGGATTACTACTTCAACGAGCTCGCTGGTCCCGCACCAGAGAAGCATCGCGACCCTCAGTATGTGGCAAAGGCCGAGGAAAAGGGAATCGATTACCGGCAGTGGGCGTTGGTCGAAAACTACGCCCAGCACCTTCACGGAGTCAGATGGGATATCCGACTTAGAACATATGGTAAGTCCCACGCCATGAGGACGATACGGAGCGTTGCTGACAAAGTGGAAGCGATGTTCTTCGAGATGGATACAGTCAACAGGGAAGGCAAATGGCCAACCAAGAAGAACTTGGGCCATCTGATTCGAGAGCGCACTGTCGAACTCATCACTGCCAGTAAACATGCCGAAGACAGTGACGACGAGGATGAGGAAGACCTCCCAAGATACGCCAGCATTCCATCGCTTGAGGTGTCTCGGGCTCTGGGGACTGCGACTAATCCCTATCCGGATGTTTCTCTCCAGGGTGCCCACAAGCTTCCTGATCACGACTTGAGCTTCTTGCCCAACTGAAGGATGTCGATCCTGTCGTTTTTCCTGTTCTGTATTTCTCTTAATAGTGTGTGTTCATGGACTAAGATAGTCTCTTAATAACTAACTAGTTACTGGTTTAGATTAGTAAATTGAATCTGTTGTCTGCTCTGTAAATCAACCGCACCCAATACTTCATGTTGACTAGGCTGTTCTCCTCTTTCATGGTAGTAGTGGGATAAAGAAGACCACAAGAGCACTATTCTCGATGTGTTTCAACAGGGATAGTCATATAATCCGTATTCGATTATGTGTTATATAAGATTATACTGTAACTAGTTAACTATTTAGTCGTGAAGTAGTTATGTAGTTAGTATATCTGATCAGCGATAAGATAACGATAAACGCACAGACCAACTGAAAAAAAGTGAAATCCAAATCCTCCAAGGTTGCACTCACTTCGCCTCCAACCCCATTCGCTTTTCCTCTCTTTATCATTTATTCTCTACTGTCATACTCAGCAAGATGACAGAGGCGACGAACCCAACAGCTCCTCCCAAGCCCGTCCACACCATCGTCCTCGATGCGGGTCCCATCCTCAAGAATACCCCGCCGCTTTCCACCCTCCTCGCACAGTGCGAAGAACTCATCACCACCCCAGCCGTCGTCCGTGAAATCCGCGATCCCGACGCCAGAGCGCGTGTTGAAACCCTCTACCTCCCGTTCCTGAAGCAGCGATCGCCGAACCCGAAGAGCGTGGCTGTCCTGAGCGAATTCGCCCGGAAGACCGGTGATCGCTCGGTTTTGAGTAAAACCGATATCGAAGTGTTGGCGCTTGCGTACGAGCTTGAGTGTGAGAGGAATGGTGGCGATTGGCGGTTACGTAGTACGCCGGGGCAGAAGCAGGTTAACGGGAAGCCTCCGGTGAAGGAGGAGGAGAAGAAGGATGGAAAGGAAGGAGAAGACCAGAAAATTGAGGACAAGCCTGAGAACGCGGAGGTTGACGCCGTTGCTGAGGGCTTGAAGGCGACAACTTTGGAGAATGAAACAGCACAGCCGGAGCAAGAGTCGACTCCTGCGACAACAGAAACCGCAGAGGAACCTGAAGCGGAGGATCCAGACGCTCAAGATGGCGAGGAGTCGGACGGAGGAGATTGGATTACTCCCTCGAACTTAAAGAAGCGACAGATTCGTGATGAGTCGGCTGGAACTTCTACGGCACCTGAGCCGAAGGTTATGCAGGTCGCAACCATGACCACTGACTTTGCGGTATGTTCATCCAAACCGTGATCATCCATACTGAACTAGAAACTAACATGACACAGTGCCAAAACGTTCTTCTTACAATGAACCTGAACCTGCTCTCAACCACCACCCTTCAGAGAATCCGCCACCTCAAGTCCTTTATCAAGCGCTGCCACGGCTGCTTCCTCACCACCAAAGACATGAACAAGCAATTCTGCCCGCGCTGCGGAAAGGACACACTCACGCGTGTCTCCTGCACCACAAACTCCAACGGCCAGTTTACAATGCACCTCAAGAAGAACATGACATGGAACACCCGCGGCAACCGCTACAGCATCCCCAAGCCCGTCGCCGGTAGCTCCAACGGGAAATGGAAAGGCGGCGGTGGCAAAGGCGGATGGGGAACCGAGCTTGTTCTCGCTGAAGACCAGAAGGAGTATATGCGAGCCTCGGCCGAACAGGCTCGTAGACAACGAAAGGAGCGGGACCTCATGGACGAGGACTATCTGCCTGGTATTCTGACGGGCGAGCGAAACAAGCAGGGTGGCCGTCTCAAGGTGGGCGCTGGCCGGAATATCAACTCGAGGAAGCGGTAACGCATTCTCTCTTTTCTTTTGTATATGTCTCTATGTTGCATGAATTTGGATCGGAGTTTGGGTCAAAAAAAGTTTACTCTTCTCCCGTTGTTCTTCGGTTTTCAGGGATATAAAACTGCAAACCAAGTAGGTGTACAGCGCAATGGATGGATGGTTTTCAAACGCAAATAGCTCAATCAACATTGAACTAGATAAATATCAATTTACGTACATGATGAATCAAATCAATGTTTTGTATACGATCCTCTTTCTCGTGGACAGCCTTTACCCTGCGTGTCATGGAGGGGATGAGGCCATCAATTGTACTCCGGGGTAAGCAGCCACCAAAGCATCTTTGAAATCCAATCAACCGGGGTATTCCACCCGGCGCTTAAACAGTCATGTGCTCAACATCTGAATATGTCGTCCGGCGCATGAGATACCCTTCTCCTGGCTCGCCCTGCTCTACAAACCAAAATGGCCGAACAGCAGCATATTGAACAGTCACCTTCGCACTCTGCTGAGGATGATGAAAACGCAGAGTTATTCTCTGCGGTTCTCTCGACGCTTGACAAAGAGTAGTTGCCCCCTGCTTGCGAGCACCATTCTACAGCGCCTCCAACCACTATATCAAACCGTTAATGCGAAACTCTCAGTCGGCGAGCCTCTGTATGGATCTTACCACGTACTCTTCCCGTTGACCTTTGATGATATCAGCCTGCGCTTGGTCGTGAAAATCCCCATTAACGGCACGGCAAGCAAATGGGATGAGATGTCTGCCTCAGCCCTGACCTCTGAGACGAACACAATGCGCCTCTTGAAGCGCGAGACCACCATCCCTCTACCTGATGTTTTGGACTTCTCCTCGACCACGCAAAACACTCTCCGATGCCCTTACATTATTATGGCTTTTATTTCCGGAGTCCCTCTGCATGATGTCTGGTTTGGACACCGTCTGAACGGCGCCAGCCTCGGAACCACCCGTTTACGCCGAATTCGCGCCCTCGAAAGCACCGCCTCGGCAATGATGCAGCTGGACAGGTTCTCATTTCGAGCCGGTGGCCGTCTTCTCCTTGACAGCGATGGCAACCCATCTGATATCGGGCCTATGCGACAAGTTGACCACAAAGCTATGCTAGACCGATGGTTCGTCCATAACGACCCAGACGATGACCTCATATACATCGAGTGTGCGCCATCCAGCGACCCCAAAGCACAATACACCCTCATGCTCGACAAGCACCCCGAACAGAACCAGGTCTCCAAGGGTCTCGCGATGCTCTTGCGCCAGCTGATCAGCTGGATCCCTGAGCCTGAGCCCAGTGAAATGGACCCCTTCGTCCTTGCACATCCAGAGACTGACATCCAGAACTTCATCGTATCTGAAGAGGGCGAGCTCCGAGGTGTCATCGATTGGGATGAGGTCGCTGCTGTGCCCCGTACCCTTGGTAACGAGAGTTATCCCGGGTGGCTCACGCGCGACTGGGACCCGGCTATGTACGGATATCAGGAGTCTATGGAACATGGAGTGGAACCAGAAGGTGCGTGGGAAGATTCGCCCAAATCGCTCGCCTACTACCGTGGCATCTATGATGGCATAATGGCGAAGCATCGTATGGAGAGAAGAGGATCTGAAGCCAACTTCTGCCGAATGTCTCTTATTACGGAAAACCTAGCCATTGCGGTGGATGCTCCGCAGTGCCGAGATCCAGTTCTGCACAAAATGATGCACGAAATATGGGCTGCTGCGGGACGAGGTCAGCAGCTGGATTACACGGAGCTAGCCGATATGTTCGCCGAGAGCAAGGTGGATGACATGGTGATGGAGACGCTTCATAGGGGCTTTAATATCCTTCTGTCGAAGGAAGGGTTATGGGGTGCGTTTGATTACCATCACGCCCGATATAAGACCACTCACAGCACTCATTGAATGTTGTCCTTTTCCTGTTCATTCTGATACTCGAGAGCGAGCCCAAGTTATCGCAACCGTATTGCAAACCTCAGTTGTTTGGGATTTTCTCCCTCATGCATCTTGCCTGAGAAAGAGAGTTAGCCAGTCATGGGCCTTAGGACGCCTTCTTGTTGTCTCTCTGTTGGTAAGGGGCGCATGGTCATGTCGGCAGCGGAGTTGTACACCATGTAGTATCTACGGGCATAGAACATTCATAGGAACGAATCGTTAGGATATTGAAATGATGACCATGCCAGGTATCTCTATCTCTGCACGCGATATATCCCAAAGTCGGAAATAGAGGAATCCAAACAAGCTTTTCAACAGCTAGAAACCAGACATAACACCATGCGCCAGATATGAATCTTCAAACCCCCTTTTGTATACCCAAATCACTGGAGACGCCTGCAAAGCTCGCCATTTACAGCTGGGAAGCTTCCTTCTCTGTTTAACGTATTAGTATCCGAGATGCGTCAAGATTGTGGACGAGGGTGCCGTACCAGGCTGCTGGGTCAAGAGCAGACCATATCTCTTCTTGAGGGTGACACGGTGTCTGTACAGAAACCAAGATTAGACATTATTCCTAATTGCAATACTATTCCCTTGTAGTCTCCAAATCGAACATACCTCGAGTACTTGTCGTCGGGGGAGAAACGAGCCGGGTGGGCAGACTTGGTGACCTCGCCGTTCAGGACCTTCTTGAGGGTGTATACCCGCTTGCCCTCGTTGTCCAAAGTGTACTGTTTGTCGTATTAGCTTGGTTTCGTCGTTGTGTGGATTTTTTGCGGTGGGATTCGCTTCATCTTCGTCGCATTGGATCACGTACCATAAGATGCATTCTGCGAATAAACCAATTAGTAAAGATCCTTTCACGGTAATAAGATTAAGAGTAAGCTCACTTGAAGTATGTTTTAGGGATATTAAGACTTGAACAAAAAGACCTGTCTGCACTGCGAACTCCAGCGGAGGAATTTTTTGCGGCCAGCTCGGGCGGCTCCGAGGAACAAATTGTCATGTGACTTACCGCTTCCTAATTCGAACTAGGGCGTACTCACGTGAGTCAGAGCCGACTTTTCCTTCTTCAGCTTCGGAGTTTTCTACAATTTTTTCTTCCACAACGAACTTCTTCCCACAAGAAAATGTCATGAAGAAATTGGACCACGGGAGTCAATGATGGGAATTCAGCGCTCGCTTTCAAAATAGTCCTGATGCGAACTGCATACTAACCATACAGCAATTGTATTTGAGACTCAGTTCTCTCATTCTGTCGTCGCCTCTGGTAAGCATGAAGTTGCTTGGATTTATCCCCAGAGAACAACACCACATGTGTCTGTCTCCTGTGATGATGACTATACCTATGCTTAGGCAATGGCACTTTGATTTCTAGCCATTGTCGATGATTGCTTGTATTTGACTACAACGGTATCTGAGGAGCACATTCGCATAGCACGTGGTATAGACGGGGGGGGGGGGGAAAAGGGTCTTGCTGACTCGTTACCTTCTGTAGAATACATACAATACTCTTTCCGGAATAAATAGATTATGCTCTGTTAGCCATGGCCTCTCAACCTACTTCAACACCTAGTCCTGCCCCCGAGGTAGCAGAAGCTGCTTCTAAAAACGAGCCGACACAAGAGAATGTGCGCCCTGCTCCTGCTCGCCGTCCTCGACCTCAAAGGCCGAATTATAGACACATCCATCGCTTCCTTCTTCCTCTTACCATCCATCCGTTGCCTCCTTTGATTCCGCATAATCCTCTCTCCGTTATCAGTGTCGTCTTGTCATACTTGACCTACTTGATTTCCCCGCCGCACCAGGAGCTCTACTCCGCCTATTTTGACTCGAATACGTCGTCCGTGCATGTCACTGATGAGAAGACAATCAGAGCGCTATGGGAGATGGGCTTCTTCGGCAAGGGCTCGCTGAGTCGCAGTGAGCCCAGTTGGTTGGAGCGGGAAAAGAAGAGAAGGGGTCAGTTCGGTGGGAAGACTAGTGAGGATGTCACACGGGAGAGGAGAACGGAACGGCGCGAGTTGAAGCTCGAGAGAGCGCGCATGGAGAAGCTTGCCATTGAGCAGCGACTTCAGGCAGAGGCTGCCGCCAATGAAAACGGTACTGCGTCACCTGACATGGATGCAGACAGTACCAGTAATGGGACTGCTACTGCCGCGGAAAAGTTCTCTCTTCGAAAGGCTCGTGAAGCGAGGATGCTCGGATCGCAGCAGTCGGGGGAGCAGACTCCGGTGACTGATTCCGGGAATGCATCGCCTGGAAGGAAAGTTACAACTCCCGGTAAAACGGTGCGGTTTTCACCAGTCGTGCAGGAGAAGCAGTTCATCTCTGATTCCACCGTTCTACAACTGCCTGAGTCACTCATTGATGGGCACAGGTCTGACGAGGAATCTCTGCTGAAAAATGAAGAACACCTCCAGCTGTCCAACGAAGAGGCCCTCTTCCTTGCCTATGGACTTGGCGCCCTACAGGTCTATGACAATGACCGAAGCTCTATAATCCCCACATCTTCCCTACTCACATTATTCCGCCAACACTCATACTTCCCTCCTCGGAGTCCTGCCGCAAACCTGGACCCAGACGACCCTTTCATAGTGTCCTACGTGGTGTACCACCATTACCGATCTCTTGGATGGATTGTTCGCTCCGGCGTGAAGTTCGGAGTGGAATATCTCCTTTACAACCGCGGACCGGTGTTCTCGCATGCTGAGTTCGCCCTCGTGGTTATCCCGTCGTACGACCACCCCTACTGGTCTGAGACTGAAGAGCGCAGGATGCATGCCGAAGAAAAACAGGCGCGCAGCTGGTGGTGGCTTCACTGCGTTAACCGCGTACAGGCGCAGGTGCGGAAGAGCCTTGTGATCTGCTACGTGGAAGTGCCACCTCCGGATGATGCTCAGGCACTGGAGAATGATATCGGGGCCTTGCTTGGTCGCTATAAGGTACGGGATGTTACGATTAAGCGATGGGTTCCTAACCGGAGTCGGGATTAGCTTTGTCTTCCCCTCTGTTACTCATGTATGTACATAGCATATCTTTAGACCGTTCGGATGGCTTTGGGTTATAGGGTTGCTCTTCTATCGTGTATAAATACAGCTATCTTCATAATGAGCAATGAGTCCAGTCACTTCATCCCATATTGTAGAGGCGCTAGTCCCAAAGTAGTAACATTACTGGGTAGAGTCACGTGCCACGCGCGTTTTCGCGTTCTACGGTTCAGGCCAGGAGAGCAACGCCGTGACGTTGCGAAGGCCCCCTTCGGACTGCAAAGGGAGCCTGACCTCAGGAAGCACTATGAATGCTTGTAATTTGTGGCTTGCAGGTTGAAATCACGCAGCCATGGAGACTCAAGAAAGTATTGATATCGTGAAGCTGAAACGCGTCGCGCTGGGACAAGTGAGTTCGGCTATGATTGATCCATCCATTTTTGCTTTTTTCTGGTCGTCGGACTACTAATGCCACCACCTTTATTGTTCTCTTATTTGTAGGATTCACAGTCCCAGCCGGTCTTGTCGCATATTCAAAATCTTCCGCAGGACCCAACGCTGAAAGAAAACGTCCCGGAAGCCCAGGCTGGTTCGCAGGAGGTCCGCCGGGCATCGCCTCGCAGTCCTTTGCACGAGCAGAATGCTACGAATGGCACAACTACGACTCCAATAAACGCAAGCAGGCCGAATAATCGATTACTGCAACGGGTGAGCGGGAAGATGGGATCCGCGGAGACGCCATCAGACACCCAAGTAGTGTCGCAGTCGGTATTCGACCATATCATCCAGCAGAACAACGACGATAATACCTTGAAGACACTGCATGAAGGAGACCCTGGTCACATTGATTTGCTCGCGGGATTCGATCATACACAGTTGGATACCAGCAACACCAACACCAACAACACTGAGGACAATGAGAATGAGGACCAGGGAGACGCAGACCCGTCTTCCCCGTTGGAGTACCAGCCAAACCTCTTCCCTGAGTCTCAGCGGTTCATCGCCAAGACCCCAGCTATGGTGGTTCAACAGAGACATTTCGAGGACCGCAGCCAGAATGAATCCCCTCTTGTCTCCTTCAATCCTCTCGCATCAACCAAGTCGACTAACGGAACCATGGCGCTGAGCCAGATGTTCGAGTCCACGCAAGTTCCATCGTCTCCAATAGTCAATCGTCTACACTCAGATCAGATGTCCGAACGACCATCGCCGAACTTGCCGATCCAACACCATTCACTTGCTGCGGGTACGGCACTGTCTTCCCCGACCATGAAGTTAGCGGCCACATTTCCTCAGCATCCGTCGGAGTCAAACATGAACTATATCACTATGAAGGAGTCGCAAGCAGAACGAGAGAAGAGGATTCAGGCTGAGAGGATGACGCGGTCGGCTGAGCATATCTACTCGGAGGACCAGAGTGATGATGACGAGTTCAACAAAGAACCCAGCTTTGTTGAGAGGATGAAGCGACGGAAGATGATTGACGAATTGGCGAATGCGCAATTTGCTGGCTTCGCTGCTTCAGCACGGCTCGCGTCAAGTCGATCGAGTCGATCAAGCAAACGAGGCGGCAAGTCAAAGTCGCCCGAAGAGCAAGAGTCACGGGGCCAGACCGATGGTCCAGACGAACGGCAGGAGCCTATCGTACTTTCCCAAAATGGCTCTATCAGTGAAGAGGAAACAGAACAAGAGGACGATGACGACGTATACTTGCCCATGCCCCGATCGCAGGAGCTCAACATTTCAACAGAGGAAGACAAGGAGAACCACAATGGTGTGCCTGCATCGCCTCTCGCTGCGGCGACTAGTGCACACGATCGACTTTCACAAGCCCTTGCTCTGCAGGCTAGTCCGTCTCCGAATAGCAAGATGGCTACCGAAAAGCCAATTTTCAACCGCCACAGCCCTAACCTGGATGAACAGGACGGAGTGGGACGGTCTTCACAGATTTATATCGTGAGGGACTCGCAGCAATCCCCGACGCGCGGAAGCCAAGCGAACAAACAGAGGCAGCCAGACAACTCACAAATCACACTTTCACAACAGCAAGTAGCTCGTTCGGACGTGGACAAGCAATCACCTCCACCCCCTCCTGTGTCTCAACGAAACTTATCTCCTTCTCTTCCCAACGATCGTACTTCAGCGCGTACTCGTTCACCGTCCGCGAGCTTGGTCGAATCTTCTAGCCAACTACCCAAAATACCAGCAGCTACCGATCCCATCCGGACACAGTCTAGCAATCCAGCTAGCCAGCCAGCTGTGGTACGTGGCGAAAATGCTTCCAATCAAGAGAAGTCATCTTCAATGCCCTCTCGTATTGTCGAAACACCGGTGCACCAACAATCAAGGAGCTTTGCGGATGTGGTCCCGGGCACCACAGTTCCGGAAACTAGCCCGCACCGTCTACAAAACCAGGAATTGGACAGTGACATAAATGGGGATGCTGCAGCTCAAGAAGACGATGATTTGCCTCCTGTCTACCCTTCCGGCCATGACCGTGCCAGCCAGTCGCGGCCACTTGCGCCACCAAGCTCGTCGGCGGTGACAAAAGCTTTCAACTCCAAGATCCTTTCCAGCCCTAGCGGCAGACAGCGCAGGGCCCTGACGGAAATTGCCTCAGAAGCGTCCCCGGGAGGACCTGCTAATTTCGATATCGAATTTGGCATCTTGACTGCAGACGATAGAGAGTTCAGATCCATGGTCGCGATGTCTCCCAACCCGCCGAAGAAGAAGAGGCGCGGGAATGAAAGTCAGAATTTTTATGCTTCCGACCCTGTACTTCCCGTTACACCTCGTCCGACTACTCCTCGCTTCGCTCCGTTCCAAGAGCAGGAACCGATTCCGGAGGAGCCCCAGCCGGAAATGCCACAGGAGGCGCCGGAGACAGCCATTCGGAAACGGTCTAAGCCCTCCAACCGAGCTGATACAGTATGGGACGTGGATGCTTCGCCGGAATATCATGTGTCTCGTACGGGAAGAAGATCTCTCTTCCGATCTCGGCTACAGCAGCCTGTCCAAGATCAGGAATCCGAAGCGAATACGCCTGAGCCTCCGAAGGAAACGACCGAAGCTCCTGTTAGCGTCAATGATGAGATGGATGTCATTTCCACTCCTGCCGGAAACCCTGATCATCCCTCAGAAACGCCTACGGTCCAGGATACTACGGTACAAAAAGAGCCTACTCCTGTTAGGCCATCCCCGCCGGGAGGTCCTCAAATTGCCCACAACCAGGTTCTTGCCCCTTGGAGTGGCCCGAAACGGGCATACTATCCTGCAACATGCTTGGGTACACCATTTGGCACTTCAGCATCAAAGTATCTGGTCAAGTTTGAAGACAGTCTTCCGGTTGAGGTGCCAACCACTACGGTCAAGAGACTCGAACTGCGAGTTGGTGATGCGGTCAAGGTAGAAATACCCAAATTTCCGAAGATTCCTCATGTCATTCGAGGTTTCGACGATCGAGTGAGTGAGGAAGACTTCAGCAATACCATTAACAGTGGCTTCATTCCTATGACTGACGTGTATGGTAACTTGTCTGTCATTCTGGAACCAAAAGCGCGCAAGAGTATCTCGAATGAGGCCCTTCCACAGACGGAGAACGTCAAAGTCCCCATATCGCGGATCTATCTGGATACCATCTTATGGAACCAGCTTAAAGATCGGTCGTTCAGCCATTATGCAAACGCGAAGACGTTGGAAGAAAGGCCCCAAACACCAGCTTTAGCCGGCGTACTCGCCACACCAACACCTCCAAGCAGCCGACTTTCTCGCACTATGCGGTACATGGGTGGTATCTTTGCTGGAATGGTGTTTGCAGTCTCCTACGTTGACGACGATGCGGGCAAGTCTCGCGTGTCCCGATTGATAATGGAACACGGCGGGTGTATTATAGATGGTTTCAACGAATTATTCGAGTTTCCATCGAACGTCCCTCTTGCAACCCCGACAACACAACAATCTGCCCATCCAGCGCAAAATAAGACCAACATGCGTCTTACCAGAAGCGCTGAAGATCTCGGATTCGCCTGCGTAATTGCTGATAAGCACTCTCGCCGCGAAAAATACATGCAAGCCCTAGCCCTCAACCTACCATGTCTGTCTGGCCGCTGGGTTGAAGACTGCATTGCGCAGAACCGAATCCTGGATTGGGAAATGTACCTTCTCCCCGCGGGGGACTCGACGTATCTCAACGGCGCTGCTAAATCGCGAATGCTGACGTCCACTCTTGCCGTCAACGCACGCTTCGCTCATACCATCGCAGCTCGACCAAAGCTACTGGACGGACAGTCTGTGCTTATCGTCATGGGCCGCGGGAAGGAAGAAGAGAAGAGCAGGGCATACATCTTCCTCACATATGCCCTTGGCGCCTCAAGAGTGGAACGCGTGTATGATCTCAAGTCCGCAAAGACATTCCTAGACCAAGAGTCTGAGGCCGGCCATGACAGTTCCTGGGGTTGGGTATACGTGCACTTCCATGACCAGGAAACCGTCAGAACGGAGTTCCTGCAATCCACCGATATGGAATCGAACTCAGAACGGGGCACGAAAAGACGCAAGATGTCTCATTTCATGGGATGCATCAGTGGTCAGGAACTCGGGTTGAGTTCTAAGATTACTATTGTGGGTAATGATTTTGTTTGTCAGAGTTTGATTTTGGGGAGGCTGTTTGAGGCGTAGTCCTCTCTTCCTTCTCCTTGCTATCTCTTTTGTATTTTTATGATCTGAATGTTGGCTTAGCGATAGATTTGCTCTCAGGATAATACTGGCGGATAGCTGTTTGAATCTGGATGATGTATAATATTTACATGTACGAAAGATACCCTTTTTTTATTTTACACTCTGGATGTGAAACATGGTAGAATTGCTAGTTTAATGTGGAAAATAAGACATTGTACAATTTGGACTGAATTGTAGACCTCTTGCTATAATACATTTGAAAAACACCCATGAGACACCGTCATATCGCAGGTAAACATAAACGAACAAATGAACTTAACGTAACAACATACGTATCAATCAACGACCACCCTTGCCCTTCTTCGAGCCCTTCTTGCCCTTCAAACTCTTCATCTGGGCAGCCCGCTCGGCCTTAACCTGCCTCTTCCTCCACGCCATCCACCGGTTCCTGCGGTCGTATGGCTTCGCCGTGATACCAGCCTTCTCGGCAGCACGACCAATCTGCCAGTTCGCCTCGCGGAACATGTAACCAGGACGCAGCTGCGGGCCCGACTCGGCGTTCACGGCCTCAACATCCGCAACCATCGTACCCTCAGGGCCAGTAGAAACCATCAAATCCGACTGAGGCTTCTCCAGAGTCTCAGAAACACGCGCAACAGAAACTCTGTTCAACTTGCGCCGGCTAGGAGCATTCCGAGGCGTTGGGAGCTTCCCCTCCTTCTCGAAGCAAACACCAATGTACTTCCGGCCCGGATGCCTCTCGGGGTCAAGATAGTACCGGACATACCCGGCCTCGGTGGCGTAAATGGTGTGGTTTCTGCCGATATCGCAATTCTCGCCGGGGAACCATTTTGTCCCGCGCTGCTTGTAGATAATGCATCCCGGGACGACGTACTCGCCGCCTGTGCGCTTCGCTCCGAGACGCTTTCCCGCGGGGTCACGCGAGTGTCTATTTGCGGCACCCTGGGCGGCGTGCGAGGCGTGGCGGGCTTGAGAGATGGGGAGGAGTTTCGAGAGCGTCGGGGATGATAATGTGGGTGCGGAGACGGGTCGTGGGAGGAGGGATGTGGATGGGAGACGGTAGGCGGCGGGGGCGGATCGGAGGGAGGGCACGAATGTCCTCTCTAGTGCCCGGAGGGGCGTGAGTAGTCGTGATTGGAACATATTCCAATGGTGCTTTGGTGTAGGCCTGCTGGAGAGGAAGTGAGGTTGAATGAAGCCCCGACGGGGAACTTTTTTCGTTCTTGGCGGTGAGTCACGTGGTATCGCGATAAGTTGGCTTGATCGCCATTCATTTTCTAGTCGGTTCAACAATACACTTCTTTACTCTACAGGGTGTATACCGATTCAATGTTGCCCAACTTGGTTAAGGCCCTCTGGGCTTTTTTACTGCTGGCCTCTGTGGCTCAGGCTCAATTCCAATTCTTCGAGCACATGTTTGGCGGCGGAGGAGGCGGCGGTCAGCGACAGGGTCGTCAACAAGCAGAGCCTCACGATGGCCCTAGTGATCCTACGTGGTATCAGAATGAGTGGGAGAGTGGTGAGTTTGTCCGGTTTGATACTGGCGCTAAAGAAGGTGGACTGGTGGCTAACAATATGGTCTTCGCGACAACAGCACGCTGCTCCAAGTACCTATGCCCCGATACTCTTGCCTGCGTCCATTTCCCGCACCATTGTCCGTGTCCGCACCCAGACGTCGAAGAGAAGATTGAATTGGGCGAGGGAAGTGCTGTTTGCGTTTCGAAGGGGGGATACAAGGCTGGCGAAGCGGCGCGGAAGATCGAGCTGGCTCGGAAAGGTCTTCTATGAGTTGGATAACTATTGAGGTTGCATTGGGGTGTATGTGGTATATTAATGAGAGCTTTGGTTATATCTTTGTCTTGAATTGAAAGCATCGTCGTGGTTTGGTTGTGTTGGTCTCTGTTGGGATAGGTGTGCTCGATACCCAACTACACCGTTATGATCTAGGTAATTTGCGCATCATATGAGCTGCTCATCTAGCTCATTCTGCTACCATAGTTCAAATTGAACGTATTCTCTGGTGTACGGAGTAGAATGGACAAGCACATGCTGGTGTTTTCCCTAGCATTCCTTATCTCCGCTTAACCCCGCGGCCGTCGTCATTTCTTTGCGGAAACAGTCACCACGCCGTCGCCTTCTTTTGCCTGCTACTACCTCACCATACTCAGCGCATACGTTATTTCTGTCTATTAACCATCTTATATCTCTCATCCAGACATAATATACTCTGTTCGCCCATGTGGAGTGCAATACGACCATCGCCTATCTGGTGGCTTCGAGCTCCAAGCCGAGCACTCTCCAGCTCCTTCACCAAAGGCCGCGCCAGTCCTCGAGGCCCTCGGAATAGCATACGGAGACTGGACCCTATTTCAAATACCGGACGAAAAGGCGCACAACCGCCGCATTCCGAGTCGTCGAACGACGAAACAAGTAACCCCGCCGCGAACTACGACCCTTCTCAAAATACCCTCCTCTCCCCGGTTCATATACCAGAGGATCCCAATGCCGTGCTCAAAGAGAATCACCCTGCTACAAGGCTATTGGCGAATTCGGGCTTGGTCGTGCAGAGACAGCTGGAGTTGATGAATGCGATGATGTGAGTGGACACCAACAGAGCAACAAACGGAGTCTGGGCTGACAGTCGGTCTCCGTGAAAAGTGGATTTGAACAGGCAAATAAATATGTGATTATGGATGCGAATGGGAATCATGTGGGATACATGGCAGAGCAAGAGAAAGGCTTGGGCAGTACGATGGCCCGGCAATGGTTCCGGACGCATCGCTCTTTCGTGACGCATGTTTTTGACCGGCATGAGAATGAAGTACTCAGGGTAAGGACTCTAAATGTCCGTTGTAGCTACCTCTCAAGGCTAATGCTTTCTAGTTCCACCGTCCGTTTTCCTACATCAATTCCCGTATTCGAGTCTATGATCCTTTTGATATCGCCAAAAACGCCCATTCGTCTTCGACTGCTCTTCAGACAATTTCGCCAGGGTCACTAGTCCAGGCAAGCGGGGGATCTAATGCTAGAGTCTCGCCTCTTGGAATTGAAAACATGCATGTGGTTGGGGAGGCACAACAACAGTGGGCGCCATTGCGACGAAAATACAACCTCTTTACCTACCATCCATCTCCGGACGCATCAACAAACATGGGAACCGAGATATTGCCACTTGCTGACTCCGGACTATCGCAAGCGCAACAAATGCAATTAACCCACAGTGGTGAGTCTGGTCAAGAACAAGGAGAGTTCAACCAATTTTCCTACGTGGATGAGCCTTTCCTGTCATGGGACTTTGCGCTACGCTCGGCAGACAACAAGTTGATTGGATCGGTCAACCGCGATTTCGCCGGTTTCGCTCGCGAGTTTTTCACTGACACTGGTGTTTACGCTTTGCGCATGGATTCCGCTTCACTCAGTCAGGCAGAGACAGCCGCCACACAGACTGACGTCGCCACAGGCATGAGCCTCGACCAGCGTGCAGTGATGCTAGCTACGGCCGTGAGTGTGGACTTTGACTACTTCAGTCGGCATAGCGGTAGTGGAGGTTTTGGCTTCATGCCCCTCTGGATCCCCGGTATGGGTGGCGACGCCGCTGCGGGCGGTGCTGCCGGTGGTGCCGCTGCAGGAGAAGCCGGTGCAGTGGGCGAGGCAGCCACAGGAGCCGCGGGAGCTGCTGGTAGAGCCAGCGCTGCTGGCGGGATGGCTGAAGGTGCCGGCGCAATGGCCGGGTATGAAGCCATGCAACGAGGCATGGGTGACCCGTATGCGCAAGACGTATCTCCCGATCAACAACCCCCGCCATCCTCCATGGATCAGTCCCCGCTGCCGGGTCAACCTGGTCCGTATGGAGATCACTGGGCTGAAGAGCAACATGAAGATGTTTGGGATGAGGACCCGTGGAGTGATGGTGGAGGTGATGGTGGCGGGGACGACTGGTTCTAAGGCATCGCCTCTGTATACCAGGGATATAAGTATATAGTTGATTGTTATTGTACGATACCAAAAATGCGTTGGCGTTGATGGTTAGCCGTTGTATACTTGTACCATATCGGAAATATTCCGCTCCAATCCAATGTATTGTTTGGAACATGATCATAAATTTTATTCTTTGACAGTATATATAAGCGGTCACTTGGCTCAGAATGATCTTTCCATTTTATTGTTTGTTTGTTCCTGAAATCCTACTTGTACTCTCCCATAGACCAACGTCGCCTCTCCCCACCGCCTCGGAATCTCCGCAACATCCACCACCTCTCCATTGCAATTACCCCATTGAAGACCATACAAAAACCCACTCTCCTCACCTACTACTCCCAAAACACCGCCACAACCATGTCCTCCGTCGCGCAAAAACGCCTCTTCCACGAATACAAAAACCTCTCCACCAACCCGCCCGACGGCATCACCGCAGGCCCCGTCACAGAAGATGACATGTACCACTGGGAAGCACTCATCCAAGGCCCCGAGGGCACACCATTCGAGGGAGGAATTTTCGCGGCCGAGCTCAAGTTTCCGAAGGATTATCCGTTGAGTCCGCCGACGATGAAGTTTGTTGGGGGTGGGGTGTGGCATCCGAATGGTATTTCTCTTTTACCTTATCTCCCTGAGATAGGAATAGTTCAGTGGCGTGATATAAGTACAGATGCTAACTGGTGATTTTTGTGCAGTCTACCCCAACGGAACAGTGTGTATATCCATCCTCCACCCTCCCGGCGACGACCCGAATCACTACGAACACGCCTCAGAACGGTGGTCTCCTATCCAAAGTGTCGAAAAGATCCTGATCTCGGTTATGAGTATGCTCGCGGAACCAAACGACGAGAGTCCGGCGAATGTCGAAGCGGCGAAGGTGTGGAGAGAACGGAGGGCTGAGTATGAAAGGAAGGTGAAGGAGGAGGTTAGGAAGGGGTTAGGGTTGTAAGGAATTGGTTTTTGAAGGAAAATGCCTGAGTTGTGATGTATATTTATACTCGGTATAATACGCATAGCGTGGGTCTGATGGGTGCAGGGTCGTTGATCGACTTTGCTGGCGTATGAGGTGTGTTTTTATTCCTTTGTTTTATGGCAATATGATGAGGAACGATTTTTATGGCTTCTCTTCTTGAGTGCGGGTGCTGATAATGTAAAATAGAATAGACATTACCTCTCAGTACTCTGTTTAGTTCCAGACCATGTTCATCACTATTTATCCTCGAGAGAAGCAGCCATCTTCCGATCAATCCATCCTTCTAATCCACCCTCTCGCTGGTAAAGAATCTCCGTCTCAGCCTTCAGATTTAGCATGAGCATCTGCTGCAGCTCTGCGCGCCATTCTGGCTCAGGTCCGTCAACTGCCCAAACCGGGCTATTGTTCAACATGGCGACAGCCTTCCTCCTATCTCGTGGGGTCAAGGAAATGAAGGCATCGTCTCCCAGCGAATCTGCCCCGGATACGACGTCGGACGTACAGAGTCCAAGTCGTTGCAACTCGGGGGTGTTGAGCTTGCTGTTCTCGCGTGCATGTGCCCTGGATCCGAATTTGTAGGTTGAAATTATGGCCATGCCGTCGGGGTCGTTGTCGACCAAGGCGTAAAAGCGAGTGTCAGGACCACAAAAACTGCTGTCGAATAGTCGACGGACGAAGGCTCGTGTGCTGAGATCTGGATATCCTTTGCCCTGGAACCATTGTCAGTCCGAGCCGGCAGGTGTGGTATGCTTTGCTTACTGTGACGATAATCCCTTTCCCTGCTGCAGCTCTTGTGTGATAACTGCTCCTTGCGAGTCTGCGGTATACGGCCTGTTCATGTTGAGCGCGGAAGTCGTACGGGAAGTCGAGTTGCGTACCTCTTTTTCCAGTATCAAGATCCATTTAACGTCCGACATGTCGATCTCTTTGATGTCTTCAGCTCTTGGTATAAGCACGTCCTGCATCATTTAGTATCAATCTCAGTTCACCTGGATATCTTAACCAACATTCGTCGTGAACCGGGCATCTATAACTTTGTCCGATGAAGTCGTCAAACGATAATAACCTGTAACCAGTCCTTTTGCGGCTGCTTCCTAGGTTCTGTTAGCTCGTCACTAGAAGCTGTCGAAAGCACGTACCACTTTCAACGCCGCTCGATCCACGCCAATTGTATGAGCAATATCATCAACCACCATGTCAACTACTCTCTGTGAACCAAAGCAGGTGGGATCGTTGTAATAGATGTCTCTGCCACACTCTCAGTAACCCAGTCTGGCCCCACTGCTGGTTTGAAGCGAAGCAAGGTCAATACCTCTTGGAAACCACTAACCCACCCTCGATAGCCTGTGCAATAGCCTCGAGGATTCGAATGACGACCGCTATAGCAAATAAATATCAGTATCGCGACAATGGGATACAAACGCAAGGCACCAGGTGCCATACTAAACCTCCACGCTTCATGTCTGTCCCTACCAGGCCAAGTGTAGCTGATTTGTGTTTCCGTCTCGCTCGTCTCGAGAGCTCCGTTGTCGGGATTGATGAAGAAAGCGCCTTTCTTGTATCTTCGTTTCAGGGTTATGGCTGGGTTTCCGTCTGGCGAATCGAGTTCTGCGAGGGCTGCTGTTAAGGTGTTGTCGATGTAGTCTTGGATCTGGCTCTGAGGTGTCTGGTTATGGTTGGATGTTGGTGAGTCTGTGATTTCCAGTGTATCTGCCATTAAAACGGTTCCCATGATGCTGGGGTAATAGTAATATGACAAGTTGGCATGGAGAGATGGGATGAGAGGAAGGGAGAAAATGTGAAGTTGGCTGATTATGAAAGATATCAGAGAATATTAGAGAATATGTATTGGGCTCGCTAAAGATAGCAACAACTATTGGTCCATTCTCTTTTTCTTTGCTTTTTATGTTTCTTTAGCATTATACTAGTTAGTATCCATATGGTTCGTTAAAATATGACTACTGTAGAACTATATATCTCCATGTATGGAGCATGGCTGCTCAACCTCAAAACACATGACAGTTCCTCGCTACGGGCCAAGCTCAATAGTCAAAATATAGTCAATTCCCGTCTATTATCCAATTTCAAGCAACTTCCTGTTCAATATGTTGCACAATGCAGCAGCCTCTGAATGTATGCAGACTAGTTGACTAGTTAACTAGTTAGTTATCACATGCCTCTGATGACTAAGCACACCGCTGTCAACAAGAAGCGACGACATCAACACATTTATGTTCTCCTAGACCCATTGCTCCTGTCTTTTTCTGTCTCTATTCTTCATTTCACTTCAATTGCTATCTTTCTAGGCGTTTCAGCATAGACATCAACACTGAAAGCAGAAATAATGGCGGCCGATCACATCGGACCGTGGAGGACGGATGCTCAGGGCCATTTGACCCCCGACGAGAACGGAGATCTCAAAACCGACTACTCGAGATGGCGATTGCTCGATGATCGTGGTCGCCAGACATGGCATTATTTGGAAAACGATGAAGAAAATGAGAAGTGGCCTCAGTCTGTGGCGGACAAATACTTCCTTGGTCTTCCCACGGTACTTTAAATGCCCCAAACTCATGCTCAATGCATGCTGACGTGCATTTAGGAAGTTCCGGATCTGCCAGCTGCAAAGACTCCTTTGCAAGCAGCAGAGAATGGCTTGCAGTTCTTTTCCAGTCTGCAGCTAGACCCTGGTAACTGGGCTTGCGAATACGGCGGTCCAATGTTCTTGTTGCCGGGTATCATCATTACTTACTATGTTACAAACACACCAATTCCTCCGGAGTATGCGACGGAGATTAGGCGCTATCTCTTTGCCCGTCAGAGCCCGGACGATGGAGGCTGGGGTCTGCACATTGAAGGCCACAGCTCGGTTTTCGGTACCAGCATGAACTATGTCACGCTCCGTCTGGTCGGTGCTCACGAGGAAGATCCTCGCATGATCAAGGCGCGTGGTCTGTTGCACAAGTTTGGCGGTGCCGTTTACGGGCCCCACTGGTCCAAGTTCTGGCTCAGTGTTCTTGGTGTTATGAATTGGGACTGTGTCAATCCAGTTCCTCCTGAGATCTGGTCCGTCATCTCCTTTGTTTCCCTCTCCGGGATATGACTTACTGACGGAGTGTAGGCTACTTCCTGACTGGATTCCATTTGCCCCTTGGCGTTGGTGGATTCATATCCGCCAGGTCTTCTTGCCAATGGGTTATCTGTGGTCTAAGAAATTCTCTCATCCTGTCACCCCGCTAACGAAACAGCTCCGAGAAGAGTTGTACACCCAACCTTATGACTCTATCGATTTCGCAGCCCATCGTAACTCAATTCACGAGGCTGACAACTACTACCCGAAAACTTGGTTGTTGAACACACTCAACCAGGTCCTGGTGAAAGTCTGGAACCCCTACCTCCGACACCCAGCAATTGTTAAGCGTGCTGAGGATTGGTCGTGGGAGTTGATTCGGATGGAAGATGAGAACACTGATTACTCGGGTCTGGCTCCCGTGAGTAACCCGATGAACATGGTCGCATGCTACCTTCATGACGGGCCGGATAGCTACTCTGTCCGCCGCCACCGAGAGCGGCTGCATGACTACATGTGGGTGAAGAACGAGGGAATGCTGGCCAATGGAACCAACGGTGTCCAGGTGTGGGACACGGCTTTCATCACGCAGTGCATCGTTGTCGCCGGCTTCGCAGACGACCCCAAGTGGCGGCCAATGCTTACCAAGGCTCTGGAATTTCTCGAGGACCACCAGATGCGGGAGAACGTACCGGACCAAGATAAATGCTACCGGCAACACAGAAAAGGCGCATGGCCCTTTAGTACCAAGACCCAGGGCTATACGGTCAGCGACTGCACGGCGGAGGGTCTGCGATCCACAATCCAACTTCAAGAGATGCACAGCTACCCGAAGCTGATCTCTGTCGATCGACTGAAGGACAGTGTTGATTGCTTGTTGCTGATGCAGAACCCGTCTGGTGGCTTCACCGAATACGAAACCACCCG